ATATTTGTAGCAATAGCCAACAATACATTGTATGTGTCAAAATTATTGATTTTTCTTTTATGCCAAAAATCATTAGGATATTAAGTAAAGATCATGTTCCATGAAGATATTTTGTACATTTCCTACTGTGAATATATTAAAACTTAATTTTTAAATAGTAATATGCATTGCTAAGAACTTAATTTGGACAACTTTAAAGGTGATTTTCTCAATATTTAGATTTTTTTTTGCACCCTCCGATTCCAGATTCTCAAATAGTTGTATCTCGGCCAAATATTGTCCTAACAAACCATACATCAATGAAAAGCTTATTTATTCAGCTTTCAGATGATGTATACATCTCAATTTTAAAAAAATTGACCCTTATGACTGATTTTGTGGTCCAGGGTCACACATATTTACTTGAAGTACCCCTGAGATTTCAAGGCAACAATTAATGATTAAGTAACACATTTGCATGTTCACAATTCTCTGATGTTGGTTTACATGAAATGCAAAAGATCCAAAAAAATATTTAATCTTTTTTTAGTAAGTGTTTTATTTTGATTGTCGTTATTTTAAAATGACATGCTTTAAAAAAGATATGCTTTTCATTAAGCTCACAAACCCCCTGCAGTTTCTTCATGAAGTCTCGTTGGAGAAACCTTGAAGTACCGTATTGTACCGAATATAAGATGAAATTTTTTTTCTTGGAAATACATCTGAAAAAACGCGAGGGTCGTCTTATATTCGGGCCAATACGGTAATTTAATGTTTAACGCACTTCATGTTGTTAAAAACAATACATTTAATATATTGTCTTTCTGCTTGTAGTTTTTTTTATCAATATGGTACAATATTATCCTATTTAAATCAATAAAGAAGTTAAATCAAAAGTAATCAAAAAGTAGTCTGATTATATTGCCTAAAATGTGTAATATACAGGGGTGCACATAAGTGGTACGCAGGTGCGCATGCGTGACCAAAATAAAAAAATGCTCTGTGTAAATAAGTTCTGACAGCGCATTGGCGTACCGACATGGTTGACAGCTGACCAATTACCATTTTAGATCGACAAACTGTAATACTGTATAAGATTTCTATTCAAACTGAATAGATAAATAAATCTAGGCTACCCGCTGCCTTTATCAAAGCACAATGCACAACTGTGACATTTCATTCACTGATGTGCTTCAGTCGGCAGCGCTAAACCCGGAAGCGCATATACTTACTTGCCGGCAACCCGTCAAAATAAAAGCCTGCTGATTTTAAGTTTTAAAATAATAAAAATTCATCTTTTAAAAAAAGAAGTAAATATTAGCATTTTATTTTTAAGTTTAATATAAAATAGTTGTATTTGTATTTAATACTCCCTTTTTATTTTAAAACGTAATAGTATTATCACACTTTATTATTTAGTTTTTTTTTTTTTAACTAAATAAAGTGCAACAATATTATCAATACGATATTTTTTTTTAATATATATATATATTTGTATTTAATGGGATACACTATGTGCAGTGTGAGGACCAAACCAAATCTCCAGGTTCTCTTTTATGAGAACCAGGCTGAAAAACTTATGTGCACCCCTAAATATAATGGATTCTGCAACTGACTACAATTTTTGTCATGTAATTTGTAATCAGTAATGGACTACAACTACCCAGCACTGTCATAGTCTTCTGTCCTCAGATCAAGAGCTGAGGAGGCCATTAGAAAGACAGCAGCTGCAGTTATGGAGACACTAGATCAGGGCTGTCCAAACTTGGTCCTGGAGGGCCGGTGTCCTGCAAAGTTTAACTTCAACCCCAATTAAACACACCTGAACCAGCTAATCGAGGTCTTACTAGACATACTAGAACAGGGGTCACCAAACTCCCCTGGAGGGCCAAATGCTGGCCAAATGGGTGCCCTAAGCAGAATAGCATTGTTGTGCCCCCTCCTTCAAAAAAAACAAAACAAAAAAAATCCTACTATAAAGGGTCAAAATAGAACTCTAATAAAATATAAAAGTAAATAATTAAACTGAATACTACCAACCTTATTTTATTTGTAACATATTCTGTTGTATTTGTCTATGCTTGTAATTTGTGTATTTGTTCTTATTTTTACTGGCTGTTCTCTTGTCTCTCATGTTTAAACTTTCTTAGTTAATCTAGTAGTATTTGCTGTGGTATCAAAGAAGTACTTCGCTTTAAGTAATAAATGGAAAGCAAGTTAAATTGAAATATTTTTATTTTCTTGCTGATCCGAAAAATGATCCGATCCGTGGGTCAAAAACCGTAATGTGATCCGAACCGTGAGATTTGTGATCCGTTGAACCACTAATAGACATATGAAAAAACTAATAAAAATACCACAAACAAAAAAAACACTAAAACTTTAATGAAGATTACAATAAAAACAGAAAATATAAAAATAAAAATAATGCAAAGTACTAATAATAACTATAACAGTATTTCACTGATACAAAAATAACACTGTAACAGGTATATTATCATTAACTAAAACCATAAAAAGTTCATTACTTGAAATAAAATGAGCATTAAAATTTAAATAATTCCTTAAAAAAATCTAATAAAAATGACAAAAACTCACATCAAAATCACTAAAATTTTAACTACAAATTAAAATGAAAAATAAAAATAAACATTAAAGGCACAGTATGTAATTTTCACTGCTAGAGGGCGCATATTCAAAACAAACAAAGAAACAAAGGCGTAGTTTGATGACGCCGTGACTGAGTGTGGAATCATGGGCAGAAATCATGTTCATGGATGAGCTAACGAATTAAAGATTTATTAACGTCACTGTAGTATGAAGCAGGGTGGGGCTGAAAGCTGTGGAAGCGGAAAACAGCGGAGCTTTTATTATGCCACAGTCGACCGCTTTCGCTCCTTCCGCTCATGCGAATGTGGGGTAAAGCAGCTCGGTTTTATCATACTAGATACATTTGAGTGTGTTGAAAGTGCTGTTATAATCAGGGGTGCACATAAGTGGTACGCAGGTGCGCATGCGTGACCAAAATAAAAAAATGCTCTGTGTAAATAAGTTCTGACAGCGCATTGGCGTACCGACATGGTTGACAGCTGACCAATTACCATTTTAGATCGACAAACTGTAATACTGTATAAGATTTCTATTCAAACTGAATAGATAAATAAATCTAGGCTACCCGCTGCCTTTATCAAAGCACAATGCACAACTGTGACATTTCATTCACTGATGTGCTTCAGTCGGCAGCACTAAACCCGGAAGCGCATATACTTACTTGCCGGCAACCCGTCAAAATAAAAGCCTGCTGATTTTAAGTTTTAAAATAATAAAAATTCATCTTTTAAAAAAAGAAGTAAATATTAGCATTTTATTTTTAAGTTTAATATAAAATAGTTGTATTTGTATTTAATACTCCCTTTTTATTTTAAAACGTAATAGTATTATCACACTTTATTATTTAGTTTTTTTTTTTTTAACTAAATAAAGTGCAACAATATTATCAATACGATATTTTTTTTTAATATATATATATATTTGTATTTAATGGGATACACTATGTGCAGTGTGAGGACCAAACCAAATCTCCAGGTTCTCTTTTATGAGAACCAGGCTGAAAAACTTATGTGCACCCCTAAATATAATGGATTATGCAACTGACTACAATTTTTGTCATGTAATTTGTAATCAGTAATGGACTACAACTACCCAGCACTGTCATAGTCTTCTGTCCTCAGATCAAGAGCTGAGGAGGCCATTAGAAAGACAGCAGCTGCAGTTATGGAGACACTAGATCAGGGCTGTCCAAACTTGGTCCTGGAGGGCCGGTGTCCTGCAGAGTTTAGCTCCAACTTGCCTCAACACACCTGACTGGAAGTTTCTATGCCTAGTAAGAGCTTGATTAGCTGGTTCAGGTGTGTTTAATTAGGGTTGGAGCTAAACTGAAGCTAAGCCCTGCACTAGATATTGGAATATTTTCAGCACCCTCTTGTGGTCATGAGGTGAAATGGTTAACTTCCTGAGTAATCAAAAACCACCAAATTCAGATACAACATGAAAGATGTAGAAATCTGACATACTGTACAGTACAGACACAGTGGTGAAGGGGTTTCTATACAACGTGTCTACAGACTCTACGGTGAGAGAGAGGAGTCAGACGTACTTTATTGGAGCGGAGGGAGACGCGTCCTCCACAGCGCGCGCAGAACTTGGTTTGGCAATAAGAACAGACATGGCCGCAGCCGTCGGCAAACTTGGTTTTGTGGCAGATCCCACAGGTGGGCGAGTCTCCCTTCTGCTCCGGGTTCTTCGGAGCCTCCTCTCCGATCTTCTTCACCTGGTCCTTGTACATCTCAAACTGCTGGTGCAGCTTCCTGTGGAGGGCAGAGAGGGACATTTAGTGCTTTCTTCTAGCTGTAGGTGTGAAGAGCTGCTCCTGGATCTGGTCCGAGTTTGAGTTTGTGCTGAGACGTATTAACATACGTGCAAAACTCGTCAGGAATACATCGTTCGGCATACCCTGCATTTTACTGCAAAAAAAGATGAAGCTGTTTTCCATGATGTGTATGTAAATCTAAAGCATTTGATAGGAGCTGTCCACAAATATGATGCAAAATAGAGTGTGATACTTGGAAAAAATGCATAAAACAATCTTGTGAAAGGAAGTAACTTTAGGAAAAGAGCTCGAGAGGTCAAACTAAATATTATGAGCTGTTTTTATGAGGGTAGCAATTTTAAGGGCATGCCTGAATACTGTTACAACATTAAAAATGTTTAATAATAACAATAATTATTTTCTAAAAATAAACTTTACATGTTGAAAAAAAAATAACTGTCAAAGGTTCTAAAATTATTCACCTTTTTTATAGAAACTGAGGAAACGGATTGACTTCCTTGATGCCTAGATGTTCCATTGTTAAAAAGGATAATGATACCAAAATTGTTTAACATGGTAAAGAAGCACAGGCCAAAATATATATATATATTAGAAAAGGTAAAAAAAAAAAACGTTTCAAACTCTCATGGTGAATTGGTTGTTAATTTGTATGATTTCATTCATACATTTTTGTACAATTTGCTTTCACCACGGTATAGGAGTGGACTTTCACGCTTGCTTTTCTTCTAAAAATATTTTTTTTAATATATATGCATCAAAATGGATACATTTACAACTAGCTACTTTTCCTGTTGTATTATATATTATAGCTGAAAGCTGTTCAACAAATGTGAGATTTGTGGCTTCCTTGCTTCAAAATAAATAAATCAAATTTATGAAACCCCAAATTGTACCAGTTTTTTTTTTTTTTGCTAGCTAAAATTATCAAAAAAAATTTTGTTACATTTTTGTTAGTTGAAATAAAATAAAACTTTTTTTACATTTTGGATGACAAACTTAAACTTAAAAAGAAAAAATTAGAAATGTTGACATGGCATGGTTTAAACTGAAATAAGTTGAAGTTGAAAATGATTAAATCTAAACTGAAATAAAAAAATTACTTAAAGCTAAAGAGAAAAAGAAATAATAAAAAAGCACATAGAAATACCAAAACTACTAAAAGTATCATAATTAAAATGAAAACTGAAAATAAAAGCTAATCTAAATATGAACAAATAGTATAATACAAAAATAACACTAATTTATACCACATTCAAGTGCAAATAGTATCTACACACTCAGAAAACAAGGTACGAAAGCTATCACTGGGGCGGTACCTTTTTAAAAAAAAGTACCTTATTTACCTCTAAAAGATGCATATCAATACCTAAAATGTACATATTAGTACCTAAATGGTATTGCATTTTGAAAGAGTATAGACAGATGTTGTACCTTTTATTCTGAGAATGTATAAAACAAGAAAGCGTAATTGTTTGGCACGTGAGTGTTGTGGTTCTTTGGGTTTTAGAGAGCGCTGGGGATGTAAACTAGAGCCCGACCGATATGGTTTTTTTTGGGGCCAATACCGATATTAGGGAGTAAAAAAAGGCCGATAGCACACAGACTTTATTAGAGCCACAGAAAGACAAACGTTTTGCTGAAAATGCACAATACACAATTCATTATGTACATTAACAACGATTCGGGACCAATATAATGTAATTTAAAGGAAAACTATGTGAATGGCGCTCTGTGGCGCGGCAGGATTTTCTGTCGGCTGCATTTAAATCCGCGTCTGAAGTTTCCCGCTCTGTTCAGCGTGCAGTATCACGTGTCTAAACAAATAGCACGTGCTGTCAGTGATTTCAACCACTAGAGGCCGCTCTCGCACTGTGTAATGACAGCAGACCCTTCTCAGCCGCTCCAGCAATGGACGCAACCCGGAAAACTATCGGCATGGATTTTTGTCGATAACCGATAGTTCCAGCAATCAACTATCGGTGCCGATTAATCGGCAAAACCGATACATCGGTCGACCTCTTGTACATTCATCAGTCAAACCTTATTGAAACGAGACCGTAACCACTGATAGGATGCGTCTAATGCTATATTAAGACTCGGGATGAGAGAGTGTGCCGGTTTGACAGGATCCAAACCTAATGCAGACAGACTCCATCAATAATCTATCCCGAGAAAACACTTACTCATCAGATGTTTATTGACTGTTTTTTTAAGACGCATGGAGCGGTGAAGTATGTGACAGGGAATCTGCGGCTTTTACTCTACATGCTCTACACATCATGATGTTCAGTTTGAGCTCCAGAAAATCGATGGCGTCCACACTGAAACGATCCGACACTGTCTCTCCGCAGGAGTACATGAATATCCAGAGTCACTGGTCATGCATGACAAACTTATGGATCATGAATTGAGCGTGTTGTGATGACATACAATTTAGGAGATTGACAAGACTGTCCATTCAAGCATCAAAACATTTTAAACTTTAGTACGCACATAGGGTATCTATATGTGCATGTGGGAACTTTCACATGATATGCCATGCAAATGCAGCCATGGGTACTTAATGGAGCCCGGAGCATTTCTTGGTAACACATATATAATGCATTATAAACATACTTTGAATGCATTAATTATGCACCTTATAATGCACTGATCTCATGAATAATTGTAACCTCGGTTATAATACATCATAATACTGTTCTATTCATTGTTACACCTTTCAGAAAGTATAACGCTTTCAAACACAGGACAAACAACCAAGGAATCTGCAGATGTTAATTCATTTTGACTTTATATCTTATTTATGAGAAGATATAATGCATTATACATAAAGGCTTCGAGTAAAATGTTACTCATTTCTTTTGTAGTATAATTATAGTGACAAGCCATTCACTATATATGGGGTCAAACCCACTAAAGGAATGGTTCACCAAAAATGAAAGTTTGCTGAAATTTTGTCATCCTCAGGCCATCCAAGATGTAGATGAGTTTGTTTCTTCATGGGGTGAAATGTAGCATTACGTCACTTGCTCACCACTGGGTCCTCTGCAGTGAATGGGTGCCGTCAGAATGAGAGTCCAAACAGCTGATAAAAACATCACAATAATCCACACCACTCCAGTCCATCAGTTAACGTCTTGTGAAGTGAAAAGCTGCGTGTTTGTAAGAAACAAATCCATCAAGACATTTTTAACTTCAAACCATTGTTTCTAGCTAAAATGCGAGTCCTCTATCTAAATATGGCTTTCTTCAGCGAAAAGGTCGTCTTGTCTGAATCGGGAGAGAAATCTGCACAGATCAAGCACTGTTTACAAGCAAAAACAGTCCAAAACAGTTGAACAAATATATGGAGGAAGCATTATTATGGATTATGGACTTATATTTTGGCCAGCTATTATGGTTTAAAGTTGAAACGCCATGATGGATTTGTTTCTGAAAAACACGCAGCTTTTCACTTCACAAGACATTAATTGATGGACTGGAGTGGTGTGGATTACTTGTGGATTATTGTGATGTTTTTATCAGCTGTTTGGACTCTCATTCTGACGGCACCCATTCACTGCAGAGGATCCAGTGGTGAGCAAGTGATGAAATGCTACATTTCTCTGTTCAAATCTGATGAAGAAACAAACTCATCTACATCTTGGATGGCCTGAGGGTGAGCAGATGTTCATGTTTAGGTGAACTATTCCTTCCAGCAGTGTGAACTGAAGGCCCTGCGCTGTACTTACGGCTTGGGCTGCTCCTCACTGGGGGACTTTGACTGGGGCTGAAGGACATTACTAACCAGCTCAGTGACAAGCACAGCAACATCAAGTGGCAAAAACCCGAGGGGTGTGTTTCTGTCTGTTCCTCTAACACTTCCAATTTGGTGGGACGACACCAAGAAATCCCTAAACATTTTGTTGAACTGTGCTGTAATGCTTGATTGCGAGTGGTAATCACCGTATATGTCGAATCTTATCTGTTTCTTTCTGTGTTTAAAGAGATAGTTCATCCAAAAATGAAAATTAATTGTTGACTCACATTCATGTCACAGCAAACCTGAACACATTTTATACTCAACAGTTTATACTGCTGTTTTTCAGCTTGGATATAGCCTAATATTTCCTTTTGTGCTCCAAAAAAGAAAGTCAAACAGGTTTGGAATGACATGATGATGAGCAGAGTTTCACTTTTCAATCGACTATCAATGTTTCAACTATGGTTACAAAGTTTGGGATTAATAATATATATATTAAAAATGAAATAAAAAAATTATAATTTATATTTAAATACAAATCTTTTTTCAATGCACTGTACTGAAAAAAAACTACATTTATTTATTTATTGTTTGTTTTGTTTTGTTTTGTTGTAATGTACTTGAGAACAAATTTATTTTTGTTGTAAAGACATTAAACCTTTCAGAGGATTTTTTGTTTGTTTGTTTGTTTGTTTTACAAATAAATTACTGGTAATAAAAGGTATATTCTTAAAACAAGAAAAACAATTTAGACTTTTTTTTTTTCAAATTAACACAGCAAACCTGAACACATTTTATACTCAACAGTTTATACTGCTGTTTTTCAGCTTGGATATAGCCTAATATTTCCTTTTGTGCTCCAAAAAAGAAAGTCAAACAGGTTTGGAATGACATGATGATGAGCAGAGTTTCACTTTTCAATCGACTATCAATGTTTCAACTATGGTTACAAAGTTTGGGATTAATAAGATTTTATGTATGTATGTATGCATGTATGAAATTTATTTAGCAAAGATGCATTAATCGACCTAAAGTGTCAGCAGAAAAAATGTCATGGTTTCAAAAAAAAAAGAATTTGCTTTAACATTGAAAGTTAAATATACAGTATACGGCAATAAAACTACATTTATATTATTATTATTATTATTGTTGTTGTTGTTGTTGTTTTATAATGTACTTGAGAACAAATGTATTTTTGTTGTAAAGACATTAAAACTTTTAGAGGATTTTTTTTT